GCCCCAGCTAGACACCTTCAGTTGCTTTCAGTCTTTCCTGTCTCACCAATTTTTTTCCAAATRAAGTGAACAGCAGAGAGTGTAAAGGATCTATGTTCTACGGGGTGGGGAAAATGCAGTCAGTTAAGAGGTTCAGCTGTAGCTGCAGGAGTCATAGCTGGGGATTCCCCCAACCTCAGAGATCCTTGGGGGTGCTGGTTGCTTGACAGTCACTTCCCAGGTTCCATTGGTCATTCAACTTAAGGGAAAGGGAAGGGTTTGGGGGGGATAGGGAAAGGGTCAATTTCACCTTACTCCAGTTCCTAGTCAGGGAACCAAATATTACCACAAATGACTCACACATGATAAAGGCCGGAAACTGGGAAGCAAACCTCAGAGCAGCAAGCTTTTCTTTATTCAGTATTCAGCAGTGGAGTCAATGGGTTGAACACCTGGCAAGGCTCATTTGTGGGGCAGAAAATGGAGGCAGGATGAAGCAAGGGTCTGGGTTATAAAGGCTCTGTTGAGAATGGGACAAGAGGGTAATTCCTGGGGTTCATTGTATTGGGGTCGGATGATCTATTAGGGTGGGACAGGAATGTAAACAGGCAATCTCCTAGGGCTTCTTGTACTGGGGTCAGCTGACCCTAGCTTGTGCACAATTGTATAAAGACATTTGTGGGCAAACATTAACAAGATGGTCAATCTTTACCTGATGCCAAAGGACCTGGAAGACAGGAATATGACCAATGAAACAAGGATACTGATGCATTTGAATGTTTTATAAAGTATAGAACAAATGAAGTAACTCTTTTCATGGTGTACTTCCAATAGTAGCTGTTTCAATATGTTCAGCAACCTCAAGAGTATATGAACTATGGGGCTGGGGTTGTGGCTCAGTGGAAGAATGCTCATCTAGCATGCGTGAGGCATTGGGTTCGATCCTCAGCACCACATAAAAATAAGAGTACATGAACTATCACTATAAATAGTAATGGCTCATTAATAAAATGAAGTAAAACACAAATGAAGAGCTTGAAGCTTTGCTTGTTGTGCAGAAGTATATGTCTGTATTATCTCAGTATGAGCATGGCTATAGAAACCTGCCTTTCCTGAGCTTGAGCCATTCATAAACACTGTCACTGCTCTGGCTATTGGCTAAGCATGTACAGTTTTTAGAAAAATAAACAAAGTTACAAGAGCAAACTGAATAACCTTATCATGAGGGTAATGACTTTCTACTTGACCAGGAAAATTTGCAAAACCTACTTGCCAAATATTGGAAGATTAGCAATGCCAACTATGTTGTTGGGTGGAAAAGGGGTTACAATAATAGAACGTTCTGACCCAAACAATTCTAAGTCTTGTGTCCTACCTTTAATGACTAACTGAACAACAAAATTGTGAAATGGAGTTAAAAATTTTTGAGGGCAGTGAGCTAGGTGAAACAACCATTCAGTAACTCTCAATGACTGCCATAATGTTCCTGTAGAGGTATGAATAGTGGGAAATGTTAATAAATATATAGGTTCTTGTGGATTAATCCTAGTAAGCTGTGCAGTCTTAATATCAGTTTCAACTTTTGTCAAGGCAGCCCTTACCTCTGCTATAAGTTGGTGAGGATATGTTGGAGAAGGATCCCTCTGTAAAATTTGAAATAAAGTACTCAAATCTGCAAGGGATAATGTTAAACTTGGCCACAGTCAGTTAATATCACCCAGTAATTTCTGAAAGTCATCAAGAGTATATAAATCATCAGCTCTGATCTGTAGGTTTTGCAGATGAATCATGCATTCTTCAATTAAGTTGTCCAAACATTGAAAAGGAGAAGGCTTCTTTGCATCTTCTCAGGTGCTATGCATAAACCCATTGCAATAATAGGTTTCTAATTGATCAAAAAATTTTAAAAGCATATCTGAATTAGCATGAACCAAAAGAATATCATCCATATAATGGATTATATATGCATCAGGGGATTGTTCTCATATTGGAACAATGGCTTTTGCTAAAAATGTCTGACATAATGTGGGGCTATTGACCATACTTTGAGGTAAGACTTTCCAGCAAAATCTCTTTACCAGTTCCTTGAAATTTATAGCTGGGATGTTAAAAGCAAATCTCTTACAATCACCTGGATGTAATGGTATAGTGAAAAAACAATCTTTTAAATCTATTACTATTAATTGATAATCAAGGGGAATAGCTATAGGAGAGGGAAGCCCAGATTATAAATCCCCATTGATTCCATAGTTCAACTAATGGCTCTGAGACCTTATAACAATCTCCATTTGCCATTTTTTTTTTTTTAACTACAAATATTGGAGTGTTCCAAGGGTTAAGAGTAGGCTCAATACGACCAGCTTGAAGTTGTTCCCCTGTAAGAAGCCACTGATCAACCTAGACAGGATTATCAGACAGCTTATTAATTTTTCTGCTGTTTTCTGAGCCAGGGAAGAGATCAATGCCCCCATTAAAAAGGCTAATTAGATGTATTAATTAACCCATATTGTCTTTGCTGACAGGACTGAGGCATAGGTGAATATCTTTCTTGTAGATTCATTCTCAATCTTTACTGGAGATAGATCTTTGATTAGGCACTTGGGATGTCACCATAGAATGAGGGTTATCAACAAGACTCCCAGGCTGCTCAAAATATTTTGCACCCATAAATTTACTGGCAAAGTATCAAGGAYATAAGGCTATGCCATCTTTATCTTCCCACCGATGTTACAGAGCACTTTGAGCAGGCTAAGAAATTTGACAATGCCTTCTAAATTAGCAGATGCTGTGTGTAAGGCCCACTTGCGCAGTCAAAATTTGGCAGAAATCACAGAAACATCTGATCCAGTATCAATAATTCCCTTGAAAATTTTGCAATTAATTTTAAGATCCAATAGAGGGTGCTCTTGCATAATTAATTGAGCCCCGTATGCTCTATCTGTGGAAATATGACATTCCTGGGGTCTGTTTGATAAAGCCTCCTCTGCAGAATCATAAGGCAAAAAACAAGTTGTGCTATGGTATCCTCTGGATAATGGAATTTGTTTGAGCAAGCAGCTTTAACCTCTCCATTAAAATTTACATCAAGAATATCTGATAGTAGGACCTGAATTCCTTCTGGAGTTAAATTTCTCTAACCCAATATTAAACCTATTGCATCTGGTTGTAGAGGTCCATAAATTCCCCTAAGGATGATTTGTGGACCCAATCTGGAGTCAGTATGAATTCTGAGGTGGGGCAGAGGCCCAGACTCCTTGTTGCCAAATGGAAAATGTCCTGAGAGACTAGGCCTACTCATAAGGAGGCTGGGCTAGAGAGAGTGATTGTTGAGCCATAGCTAATGGCTGCTCCGGAAAAAAACATGATGCTCTCATCATTTGGTGGGGCTGGGGCTCCGTACTGCATAGGAAGAAGTGGCTCATTTATGCCTCTTTGAGAGCAACATTCCCACACCCAATGGCATCCTCTAAGGCACTGTGGACAAATTCCTGGCACATTTATTTGTCCTTTCTGACACAATTAAAACATCGCCTCTTAGAACTGACCTCCTTTAAAGGAGGTTGAAAAACTTGTTTTATGGCAGACGCCATTGCTACACCTTGCATGTACGCCGGTCCAATATGAGAACAGACGGATGTAGTCTGATATCCTCTGATATTGTTCCCCTTTTACGGTGAGGTTTGATTACCTTTTGGCAAACTTTATTAGCATTTTCAAAAGCCAGATGTTTAACTAAAAAATATCAGAGGCACTGGGATCACTAATCATTCGGTTTGCTGCTTGATATAAACGCACCACAAAGTCAGAGAAACTTTCATCGGGTCTCTGCAGAATTTGGCTAAAATTCAAGGTTTTCTCTTCCTTTTCTCTCTCTATGCCTTTCTTGCACACACACTTATCTGTGCATAAGTATGCAAATCACAATTTAATTGTTGCCTCAAATCAGTGAATTGTCCTGTTACAGTTAGCATATCTAAAGTAATGTTAACTCCATGCTTTCTATTAATCTCTGCCTGCTTGGAGCAAAAATCTTTCCAATTAGATTTCCATAACAAATATTCAAACCTAGAAAGGCAGGTTTTAGCCAGCAAGAGACAATCACTAGGTGGCAGGGCCTCATTACACAGGGAATTTCACCAAGGAGTTCCCAGAAAAGCGGATTCTCTGCCTTAATGGCTCAAACAATGTCCATAGTTATGCTCCCAACAGTCATGACTTATGGCTTATGTGTATGGCACTAAAAACTTGCAGTTAGAAGCCTCAAGACTGACTATGCCCCATCTTGAATGGTGAACAGGAAAGGTGACCCATATAGATATTAAGGACACTTCAGCCTTGGAGTCAAATGAGTGAGCACATGCTTATGTGCACAAGTTGACTCCATTCCCTAAACAGAGAATTGTACATGACAGCAAATAAAATAGCATATGTAAAAAGATTACATATTAAGAACTTTAAAAACAACAGAAATCCTCATCAATATTTTCATCATTATTCCATAATGGAACTCTATCATTTTTTGACCTTGTAAGTCACTTATAAAACCAGAAGGCACAAATCTAAAAGTGAAAGGACAACTATAATTTCCTTATAATGCAGTAAATACTTGAGGATTTAAAAAAAAAAGAGGAGAGGGGATCATGGAGACTCATTTGAAAATTTAATGGATTCCTTTAATGGATGAAGCCACATCTCCAGCCCTTTTGATTTGCTCAGACAAGGGCTCACTAAGTCACTGAGACTGGATTGAACTTGCAATCTTCCTGCCTCAGTCTCCCAAGTTTCCTGGATTACAGACATGTAATCCAGCTAATAAATTCTATCTTAATTAATAGATGATTGTCAATTTTTTTGTGGTTTTATACATTCTGCAGAATTTATCACATTTGAAWCATTTGAATTAATCAATATTGGTATCATGTTATATGACCATCAGATATAAAATTATAATGGAAGGACACTGAGAAAGAGGGAATAAAAATGACACATATAAGAAATGGTAATTTAGTTGTGCAGATTACCTGTTCAAGAGGAACATGATTCACCAGGCCACTGACAACTGTTCTTGGGGCTGTTTCTCCAACATCTACTTCTTCTACATACAAAGAATCTGCATCAGGGTGTTTTTTGGCAGTAATGATGCAACCAATTCGAAGATCCAGACGGGAAACATCTATTGGCTTAGAGTCAACACTTCCTGCTAATGATTGTTGTTTTTTCTCCTTCTTCTCTCCTAAAAAGAATGGGTAAATAACAAGACATAAACCAAAAATACACTATGAAAAATCCACAGTGTCAATACTGATGAGCTTAAAAAGGAAAAAGAAAAAAATATTTATCTTTTATTTCTTACAAAGTGAAGAATTACAAAGTCATAAAATCATGACCACTATTTTAGCTATTTCTCTGAAGAATTGCCTATATTTCAAAGTTTTACTGGAATACAACCCATATTTACTCATTTATATTTTGTCTACAGAGTATTTGCACTAAGGCAGAGTTGARTGGTTGTGATAGACTTTGTGGCCTCTAAAGCCTAACATATTTACTATGTGGACTTCTATAGAAAAAACAGGGTTATAGAAAAATCCCTCAAAAATTTTTACGGGAGCTTTTGAAAGGTGAAAAATACTTTATTTAGAAAAAYCAATATTAGTAGACAAATGTAAAATACAATTTCACTGATAAAATGTTTATCTTGTCAATTATATAGAAGAATAAATATACTGTGAATTTCTTTATTTCTTATGATTTTCCTCTAAACTTATGAGGACTTTAGGTTCATGCAGAACAACTATCTGATATTATATTTAATTCTGATTATGCTTTAATAATCCTATTTTTATTAGTATGTTGAAAATATAAATTATTCACGTATGATTACTTTAACCAGAGTCAAAATGCAATCTGTGAAGGYTTTAAGTCTACAGGCAGTTTTTAAGTCTATAATTAGCTTTTGTTATGAAGAATGTAAAATACAAATAAAAAGTTATTTACCTTCTAACTTGCAGGGTAGAGACAAGCTACTGTTGCTTGGAACCATTCATCCTCAACTATGCCTTTGTTTAATCTTTCAACAAGCATTTACTAAAACAATAAATATAGTACTAAAGCATTTGAAATAGTAAGGTAAATGGCTCAGGCTGTCAAGGCACTCACCACCTCACCCCACCTTGCATAGAGGGTGAATCATTCATTTGCTCAGTATATCCATGCTATATATTTTACCTGCCYATTACTCACTTAATACCTGTCTTTGTTATCTGTCTACTGAGGTATTGTAGTGCTTGTTTTCAAATAATTCCCATATTACCTATTAATAGGTCTAAAGTGCAATGCTATTGATGTTGGCAATTTTATCTAAAAATATTGCTATAATTTCCCATTTTCTTATAAGTTATAGTTCTCTTACTGTGCCTAATTTATAAATTAAAGTTTATCATAAGTGTAGGGAAAAAAAAAAAACAGAATAAAGTTCTGTACTATTTTCAGTTTCAGAAATCCACTGAAGGTCTTGAAATGTACTCCCTATGGGTAATGGGGTACTACTGTGTAATGATTATGTGATAAATGTCACATACATAAGGAAACACAGAAGAACAAAGAACATAATTCTGCATGAAACAGGAATTGTAGATTCTGTAAAAAGACATGGACAATTTCTACAAAGGTAGTTTATTAAATAGGAGATAGGACTATAATTTTGTTGGGAAACTTAAAAAAAAAAATCCCACCATTTCCATATAACAACTTAGCAAAAATTTTTGTAATGGTAAAAATAATACAGAAATACACAGAATTATTTTTAAAATGCATCAAAAAGCCTAATAATTAGCATTGTGATAAGATGTATACATTTAACATTAAAATATTGCAGTAATGCATTATAGTATATCTATCCATAAACAATTTTAAACTTTGTTTCATAGGCATTGGAAATATCTTCATCAGTAATCCATATTCTAGCAGGTATTGCAAACATTAAACTATATACCACAAGGTTTTTAAGCTATCATAAGAAATTTCAAAATGTTTCATTGACAAAATGCTCAAGAGATGTAATGTAGTATTCTGGAAAAAAATGTATAGGCACTATAGCCCTTGTATGAGCAGAAATATTAGAATGTGGCAATCCTACTAGCTAAACTTACAGAACTAACTTTCATAACCAGCACTGTACAAGATAATAGCTGCCAGTCACATATGGTTGTTCACATTTAAATTCAAAACACTTAAAACTAGAAATGCAGTTCTTTAGTCACACTAACCACATTTTAAATATTAGAAAGTTACATGTCCACTTCAGCTATCATGTTGGACAATGCAGGTACAGCATTTCCAGCACCATTGAAAATTCCATTGGTTTGAAGTATTCTAAACTTAGAGCTCCATTTGGTCTTGTTTTTTCCTTCCCCTATGTAGCCACATGTGATTAGAAGACTGTTTAATCCTATCTTKAGAAAAACACTGCATCATCCTTAAAGAACAGAGTATGGACTTCACAAAACATATAGGAACTGGATATATTATTCTGTGTCTACTTAATTCATTTTATAACGTAAAAGAATTAGGCTGATTTGCTTCATTGCAACATTTCATCTAGCGGTGAAGTTGTAAAAGATGTAGAGCTCCTACTTACTTCTAACATAGGCTATTGATGAATGACAAAAGGAAAATACATGTACTGAATATTAAAYTGGCTTAGATTAGTTCACAAGTCCCTTAGCTATTTGCTTAAAAAAAAACTGTAAACGAGTGTATGTATAATGACAGGCACGCAAATAAAAAATCTGGTGAAATAAAATCTAGTAAGAAGTAAAGAAGAGTAGTTAAAAGGAAGTCAGATTTATGTTTAGAAAAATACTTTCAGCAGCAAGGCAAAGAGCCTTTAATATTAGTTCAGATGAAATATCATACTACCTATCAAAATTAAAGAATGGAGCTGTGTTCTAGATATATTCGGTGATTAAAAAAAAGGGTTGACTGTAGGGGCTGGGGATGTGGCTCAAGCGTTAACCCGCTTGCCTGGCATGCGCRGGGTGCTGGGTTCCATCCTCAGCACCACATAAAAAATAAAGATGTTGAGTTCACCGAAAAAACTGAAAAATAAATATTAAAAAATTGTCTCTCTCTCTAAAAAAGGGTTGACTGCAAGATTTTAAGTGTAGTTGCATACTTGGATGTGACCTAATTACCATGTCACTTTTTATATGCTCCTGAAAACTTAGTACCCCTAATACCTTACTGCAGATGGTTTGCTTCAAATGGACATTCCTTTCTAATCTTAATTTGTTCTATACTTTCTACTTGTGATTTTTTTTTTTTTTTTAAGTAAGTCCTGAATGCACACCAAAATTTAGTCACACCAAGCTATGTATGGGTTCCTACCCTTCATCTCTAACTTTATACCTTTAGGACTCAGTTTCCATGTTCCAATATTATCACACTACTAATTTTACTCAAAGTCATATAAAAGTTTGAGCTTTGTTTTGAAACTATTGAAATTATTATAAAAAATGTTAACATTATTTGACAACCAGCCAAGAGTCAAATAGATTAATGGTCAAAAATACCTTTTTTTTCAATTTTCTCTTTCACTTTCTTTTCTTCTCCTCCTCCTTTTATCTGTTCTTTAGTATCAGAAGATATAGTTGTTATTGGTGAAGACTGTATCACATTTTCAGAAATCATGGAATTAGCTTGCAGCGTGGTACCAGATGGAAATGGTATTTGCTTCACTGATAAAATAAAAGAGATAACATAATTTATAATAAATCAACAAGATAAAAACCAGGGAATTGGGGTGAGGTTGTAGCTCAGTGGTAGAGTGCTTGCCTCACATGTGGAAGGCACTGGGTTTGATCTTCAGCGCGCGCGCACACACACACACAAAATAAAAATAATAATAAAATAAAATAAAGGTACTGTATCCATCTACAGCTGAAAAATTAAAAAATAAAAACAACAAAAATCAAAAACAAAAAAACGGAGGGAATTGTGAATCACATATAGGAACTTTTTACAAAAGAAAAATTCAGTGTATGACTATCAAAATATCTATTATTTGAGAAAGTAGAAACATTATCAAGAGATTAAAATTATTTTAACCATTACTGAGACAACAATAAATGTATAATTTCCATTTGGTTACTAAATATTAAAGTATGAAAATGTCAGGTAACAATAATAGTATTTGTCACAGACATATTGTGTCCTAAAAATCTTTCAAAAATGCTTCACATGAAGTTCCCTACGAAATAGAATCTCTTCATGTTACCGCTTTACAGATGCTAAATCCCATTATCCAAAAGTTAAGAAATGACCCATCACACAATGATAGAGGAATAAGAATGTGTAGCCAGGCAGTCTGTTTCTAGGGACTGCATTCTTAACATCTAGCAAGTTGTCAAGTTTTAAATTTAGCTTTTCTTTTACAATAAACAAATGGAAAGGTGACTTATAAAATTTGTTTTTGCAGCACTGGGCATTGAACCCACCAGGGGCTTTCATTCTACCACCAATCTATATTCTTGTCCTTTTTTATTTTGAAAAATCCTCTAAATTGCCGAGACCGTCCTTGAACTTATGATTCCTCTGTCTCAGCTTCCTTAGTAGCTAGGGTTATAGGCATATGCCATCATGCCCAGCTGGGAAGGGTTTTTTTTTTTGGCAGGTGTGGGAGTGGGGTAAGAGGATGGGGGAGGGTACTAAACTCAGGGGCACTGGGCCACTGAGCCACATTCCCAGCCCCATTTTGTATTTTATTTAGAGACAGGGTCTCACTGAGTGGCTTAGCGCCTCGCCATTGCTGAGGCTGGCTTTGAACTTGTGATTCTCCTGCCTCAGCCTCTTGAGCCTCTGGCATTATAGGCATGAACCACCAGGCCTGGCTTAAAGTATTTTTAACATCTCAAAACACTGCTTAAGAACTTTTTTCTTTAAAAAGTTGCTTTTTAGTACTGAATTGTAAAGAAGTAATGTGGTRTCTTCTAACATAGAAATGATTGATATTAGCTGAGGCCAGGTGCAGTAGTGCATGCCTGTAATCCCAGTGGCTGGGGAGGCTGAGGCAGAAGGATCTTGAGTTCAAAGCCAGCCTCAACAACTTAGTGAGGCCCTAAGCAACTCGGTCAGTGAAACCCTGTCTCTAAATAAAATACAAAACAGGGCTGGAGAAGTGGTTCAGTGGTCAAGTGCCCCTGAGTTCAATCCCCAGCACCATTATATAACACAGAAAAATTCGATCTCTTGAGGGATTTTATATGGCCTAGATTCTGGTCAATATTCAGACCATTTATCTGAGGCATTTAAGTATTTTGGATGATACTGCTTTCTTTAGTAATGTAGATTCCTACTTCATATTTAACCATTAAACTGAATTTAGCACCATAATTCAAACTACTTTTTTGATTTATTACAAATCAAACCCATCTATCATTTCTAAAGTTAATCACCTCCATTTTGAATTTCTGCTTGAATCAGCTCTAGTTTCAGTTCTTCAATTTCTTTCTTTAGTTTAGCATTTTCAACTCGAAGTTTCTTCTCTTCTCTCAGTGTTGCCTGCAAAACTAAGATCAAGGAAGTTCAGTTAAAATGTGTTTTTTCAAAGTTTTCTTTAGAATGCTGTTTGAAAAGAGCATAGTTAGTACTGGTTAGGATCAGTTCCATTATGCCAGTTTACTATTTCCTAAAACAATATGATGCATTTATTCTTTTGTATGTGTGGGAATTGGTTCTAGGACCTCACAGAGACCAAAATCTTTGGGTGCTAATATGCTTTAAATAAAATGTGCTTTAAATAATGTATAAAATGTAGGTTATATTTGCATATAACCTACACTCCTCGTGTATATTTTAAATCATCTCTAAATTACTTATAACACCTAATACATTCCAAATGCTACGTGCATAGCTGATATATTGTTTAAGGAGAWATAACAAGGAAAAAGTTTGCAAACTTTAAATATAGATGTATTGTTTTCCTTTCCCTGAATGTAATAGTTGCCTAAATTCATAGATGGTGAGAAGAGCTACTTTACCTAAGAAAYAGTACAATATTAAAAGAGATTTTGCAAAATAGTTATTATAAAATAGTCAATGGGACAGAGAACCACCAAAGGCTATGAAGGTGCAGAATAAGTAGAGTGGTTCTTCTATTCTTTTAAATTATCAAAACTGAAATGCTAGCCAAGGTGCACAGAAAGTGCCACCCTTAGGAAAAAAAATCACTTCTATAACATTTGTTGTAACATACATATGCAATGGTCATTTCCAACCTCTTCATTTCACTAGTGGAAAGAAATATTAGCACTCTCTACCACTGTGCCACATGCCCAGCTCAGAACATTTTAGAATTAGGCAAAAATATTGATAAAGGGAGAAAAATTTGAGAGTAAATACAGGATTTGGTAAGCCATTTTCAGTTTTATATAGGAAAMAAAATTATTTCAATTAGTGATAGCAGAAGATTTTGAAATTTCTATTATCACATTACCCTTAGCAACTAAGAATTCTTTGTATGTAGCATATTTACCAAATAGATTCTAATATCTTAAGCTTAGAATATTATTGTACTCTACCAAAACATTAAGGAATCTTAAGTCACCAGATGATTAATAACTTACATAGTAAACATTTTTCTGTCAATATATGAATTCATTGTAAGTAACTATTTAGAAAATTTAAAATTTTCTTACTTGTTTTCTCCTTAAGAAGAGCAACTTGCTGCTTAAGATATTCAATGATTTGATCTGCCTCTGCGCCTTTCTGTTCCAGTCTCTTCAGAACAGCATCATTGCCTGCCATTTTTTTGCTAAAAAACAATATAAATCCTAAATGAAAAAAATACAGTGTGAAAAATCACATTATGAAAGGAATAAATTTAGCATATAGGATACTGATAAAGCAGTCTGAGGGAAAAACATTTTCTGCTGTAACAGACCAACATCTTAGAAAATTACTTTTACTGAGAAGAATAAAGACCAAACAAGCCAGAAATGTTAAGAACACTAAGTCCTGAGTCTCTTTGGAAGAGGAAATCTACTTTGTTCCTCAATACAGAGAAAAATGCTACATAATTATATTTAAGGTTCAAAAATTTAAATACTGCAGAATATTATAACATAAAACTACTAAAGGAAAAAGGATAGCAATAAACTTAACTTATAAGTATCACTCTAGTGTTCTAAGAGTGTCCTTCCTAACATGCAACCTTTGTGTATTAGATATTTCTAATGTTCACCGAATTATGTACATTTCAGAAGAATTATGTGAAGTAGGAAAAATAAATATTAAAAGAAAAAAAACAATAATTAGAAAAACATCAATATTAATTGTATGTCTACTCAGCAGTAAATGTCATTATATATGTGTCCTTTATAAGTAATTACAAGTGGAGGCTGGGGATATAGTTCAGTTGGTAAAGTGCTTTCCTTGCATCCTTGCATGAACATTGCCCCGGGTTCAATCCCCAGCACCACCACCCCCTGCCAAAAAAAGTGGTTTACTTTTATCATAAATTCAAAGAAATTTTTAAAAATCCTGTAGATATAGAAAATATAGAAAATTGCATATATGCAAACATTTTGAGATTCATTCATCAAGTTAGTTTAAATTGTCATATACTGATATATTAACAAGAGAGGGTTAATCATTAGTAACATTATGCATTGCTTTTTTTTAACTTAATATTAATTTTTAGTTCAAAGTATAATAATAACAAAGTAAAAATTGATGGACTAATCCAGATTATTAATGATCAGTACTCAAAAAATTGTGAAGTTTTTTGACACAGAAAAAAAAAAACTGGCCAATGTTCAAATACTACAGGATTATTAATTTCAAATTATTATCCAATGTCTGTCCTATACAATAATCTGGATTTTTTTTTAATAAGTAAACTAATCCTCAAAATACTCTGTCCTTAAGTTGAAAACAGAGATAATACAAAAGTGAAATAAAACCCTATAAAACAAAGTTGCTAGAAAATGAAATAAATAGGAAGTAAAACCTGGAAAAGTCCTACTTTAAAAATTTATAAAAGTGTAGACAAAAAATGTATACAAATTTAGAATGGAAATAGCATTTTTTAATTCTGCCCCCCCCYTTTTTTAGTACTATAGATTGAACCCAGAGGTGCTCTATCACTGAGCTAATCCCCACAGCCCTTTTTGTATTTTACTTTTTATACTTTATTTTGAGAAAACACTCTCTAAATTGCCTAGGCTGGCCTTCAATTTGTGATCCTCCTGCCTCAGTCTCCCCTGTAGTTGGGATTATAGGCACACAGYACTTCACCTGGTTACCTGACACCTGAACAAAAAATATCATGTAGTTTTTCAAATCATTTTAAAGTTGAAATTTTACAAGATATATAAAGCAATGTAGAGTAAAAATGCTCTTCTGAATTTTAGTATCTATTTTAACCTAACATAAACAATAATAAAATAACTTCAACTGGTGAAATATTACTATTGCAAACAAGTAATAATGAGTATTTAAGAACATAAAATTAGTGAAAAATACAGCTTATAAAATAAGTTTTCATAAGTGAGTGAACTGGTCTAACATATCACCTACAAATAAATACTAGCCAAGTTGCTGAAAAACATGACACTAATGCTCTGAATCACATAAAAGCAGTTAAGGATCTTCTGAGACAGTAATTTTAAAAATAGGGTTATATATCCTAGCCTAAAGGAAAAAAACAAAGGATATGCAATTTTTCTGAGTGATGAATCTATTTACTATTTTCAAAATTAAGATTTAGTCACAAAACTGAATTAAATATAAAAGGACTTGGATCTGTCAAGGCATATGGAAACACAGGAGTAAGTTTAGGAAGAGAGAATAGCATGTTTCAAAATACAGAAACAAATACAGTAGTAACACACATAAAGAACCACTAAGAAGAAACAATGTGATAAAGGGCAATGATGAAACTTTGAAACTGATAGAAAATATAAATGAGACAAAATTTGGATAATCCTCAGTTATTGTTAATTAAAGGTTAAAAGTGTAGGAAATACAAAAGTGAAAAGACTTGCCATGCCAGTTTTTCTAAAACCAAAACACTATTATAACAAACTAAAACCACAAAAGGGTTACAAGATAATAATCCCAATTTGGCAAAAGATGGTTTAACAACTAGTTACTAACTTAAGTTTGTAGTAGTTTTAAGTAAACTAAATACAGTAAACTACTTAAGTTTATATAGTAAACTACTTCAGTTTAAGTTTGTAGTAGTAAAATAAATGAAAAGTGTTTTAAAATTAAAATATGTCTAATAAAAATCCCAGCTTATCCTCACACAAAAGGTAATAACACATTATTGAAGAGTTGTGTCAAATTTATGTCTCACTTTCATCTAATTCAAAATAGCATAACATACATAAAGCACAGTAAAATCAACTTTTTGATAATTCTTACATTTTTACATACTGCATGTTAACAAAATGCTATGTAATTAAAATCTAAGTACTTCATTAAATATACATATATGTATATATTAGTAATAAAATAAGTATGATTTATATGCCTGGTTATAGGTTTGCAAATACTAATTTAGGTTAAGTTCTTGTTTTAAATTATGAATTAGGACTGAGAAATGCCTATTAATGTAACAATAAGTAAAAATGGACTTTTGTTTTAACCAAAAAATTAGATAAGAGAAACATGAAAAAAATTAAAGATGAAAAAGAGAAAACATGTTAGTAACAAAGAAATATTAGTGGAATACACATCATGAACTGAATTTCCTAATAAACATTAGGTAATAATTATACCCAATATATATTCTATTTTGTTTTTAGTCTTTTTCTCAGCACTCAGATACTGACTTATTTAATCACATTTAATCATTAATATCACAAGGTACATACTACTAACGTCCTCTCCTATTTTGAGAATTTCTTTTAAGAGTGGTGAAAATAAAATGGAGTAAGAAATCACAGGCCTTGGAGCAGATTCTATCCTTTGCCCCTCTGCCCCTCTTAATTGTTGGTAACTATGAAGTTATTTAAACTTTGTGAATCTTAGTTTTATCATTTATAAAATGAGGACAATTTTACTTATCTCATTGCGTTATGAGATATAAAATGATATACCATACATAATATTTTACAAGAGTTTTTGGCACATAGCAGATTAAATAATAGTCAATTCACCAGGCACTGAACAAACTTTGGGAATACAAATAAAAGACTGGGTGTATACATAATGTTTACCCTCAAGAAATTCATGGTATAGTGTGTTACCTAATGTTATTATATTTTCTAGATCTCTTGTTATGATTTTTATATTTTTCAGCAGACTAAGGACATGATAAACAATACAAATAAACTTATAGAGATTGATGTTACAAATGTACTTAGATAATTTGGGTTATGAGACTACATGTTAATTTCTTTGTGAGTTATATAGTTTATGAGAGTGACAGATATTAAGTTATTAATTTTATGTTTATAGCACTGAGCAAAATACATCTAAGTACTCAGCCCTCAGGAATTCAATAAAAYAGTCAACTGAAAATCTTTCCACTTTCCCCTACAACTGGGTATTGCCATCATAATAGTGGAAACTATAAAAGATAACAGACTTGAAGTCATTAAATAAATGACATACAAGGAAGGAACATTGAATGGAATTAATCAGAATAAAGCATATTTCAATTCAATTTGTTGTGAAAATCTTCTAAGGACTGGATAAGGATTATCAGCTCTAGCTCAGAAGGCAAAACAATCCAGGATGAGCAATTAATTTTGCTAAAGGCACACAAGTATCCAAGAATACCAAGAGAAAAACTGTTGTTTAAGAGAAGGGGGAAAAAGAGTAACAATTCACTGAGTGCTTTCTGTTCAATTTCACTGTGAACCTAAAACTGCTCTAAAAAACAAAGTTCTATTAAAATAAAAATTAAAAGATGAACAAGGTAGAGAGAAGAAAGGGAAAGAGGTACAAAATTACTTTTACTGTGGAGAGCAAGACCAAACAAGGCAGAAATGTTAAGACCAAGTCCTGAATCTCTTTGGAGGAGGAAATCTACTTTGTTTCTGAATGCAAAAAATAATACTATGTAACCATATTTAAGGTTCAAAAATTTCAAAGCCTTAAAATACTGCAGAATATTATAACATAAGAAAAAATTACAGTTGGATAGGAGGAATAAGTTCTAATATCATACAGCATGGCAAGGTTAACTAAAGTTGACAATCATTTATTGTCTACTTTGAAATGGCTAGCAGAGAGGATTTCAACTGTTCTTATAATAAAGAAATGATAAGATAAGGTGTTGAATAGACTAATTATTCTGACTTGCTCATTAGCCTCATTAAGGGAGAAAAATAAACATCTTTTGCTAAGTCATTTTCAAGAGTTCTTGGCAAAATAAAACTTGGAAATGACTAGAAAATGTAACAGCTGTTAACCAGTTTTTCCTCTATTCCTAGATGTAATGCTAATATTAAAAACATCTAAAAACATTTGCCTCTAGTCATGTCTGTGTATTAACTTTTCTAAAATATTAAAGGCCATTTTTACTGTTTTTAGAATGAGCCACCCTGAAAATAGCTTTTTTTCCAGCACTTACTGAGTAACTGCCATTTCAATTTTCCAAAAATACAAGACTAAATTTATGTTAATGTTTTCTAGTAATATGCAGATAATGATCACTAGCACTGGCAGAATATACTTCTTTAAAAAAAGTGTTTACAGCCAATAAACCTTAATGGGAAAAAGTACCTAACAGGCTGTTTGACCTTGGTAAAGTTAACTCCTCTATGCTTTAGTTTCCTAATTTACATACTGAGAATACTTTCACCTGATTTCACCTTCTACTTTTTAGCCTTTTTTCTTGAAAAGGAACCCTGACCTTTTAATGAAGTTCTTCAGGGCTTGGTACTGATCTCTACTCTCCTGTAAGGATTAAAAACTGTCACCACACAGTTGAGAAATCTTTGTATTTTGGAGTTAAGTGTTTAAAACAACTGAAAGTCTCTAATTTTGCCCAATGTGCTGTATTTATAGTGGAAAACAAAAAAATTTTCTTTGCACACAGAAAGCTTTCAGACAAATGAGGAAAGCAGTAAATAAAAGAAATTTTTAACAAACAAAATTATGGTTAAGGGTTGGTGATGAGTTTAACATTGCTTTAAGTCAAGACATATCTTTGAACAACCCAGTGCTCATTTCATTGTTGTATGTTAATCACTGTTRTGATTTTTCAATTTTTTAAAAAAATTTTTTGTAGTTGTAAATGGACAGAATGCCTTTATTTTATTTACATTTATGTGGTGCTAAGAAACCAGTGCCTCACACATGCCAGGCAAACACTCTGCCACTGAGCTACAGCTCCAGCCCGTGTTTTTTCTATTTTCTATTGAGCATAAGCTGAATTTCAAAACTTTAAGTTTCCCGAGTGTTGTCAAGCTTTCAGTATACTAACCTGTATAGGATTTTTCAGATAACAATATAACATTTTTACAGCTTTTACCCTACATTGGCTAAATACTGTACATGGATAATGTATGAATACTGTAATTATCTTCATTATACAAAAAAGGAACTTGAATAAAATTAGTTTGTCCCAGTTGTACAGCAATTTATTAAATGACTGAAATTCAAGTCTGTATAATGGAGAAGCTAGTTTTTTTTACTGGTTAAGCTGTAACATCCCTAAAGGATATATTTAGAAAATATTTTCCAAGTTAAGGATGGAATTCTAACCAAGAAACACCTATTAACATTTATTAGAACTAGTAGTGTCTAAATAGTTTAGGAAATGCTAAGTTAGTCTCTGTTCTRAAATTTAAAAGATTATGAAATTAAGATGTAACACTTTGTTATGTTGCTTATTTTTTTAAAAAGCAATTTTCCTGCCTCACATTCTCAAATAAGCTACTGCTTTGAAATTAAAGTTTTAAGTGCAGATTCGAAAATTTTACTTTATAGAAGTTCCATGAAAATTTACAAGCATCTCTATCTCTACTTTAAATTTTTTTTTGGTTGTAAATGGACACAATATCTTTATTTTATTCATTTATTTTTATGCGGTGCTGAGGATTGAACCCAGCGCCTCACACTTACAAGGCAAGCACTCTACTGCTGAGCTACCATCTCAGCCCCAGTCCCTCTACTTGTGAAAAACAGATTCCACTATTTCAGAATTACAATTAAGTAAAAACTGACATTCTCCTTAGACACTAAGCATACTGTATTTCAAATCTAAGATGCAATCAATTGTAAAATGGTCCAGATGCTCTTTTCAGTACAATTATTAAAAAAACAAACAAACCTTAGTGTTGATTCAATTGACCCAAAGCTTTTTTTTAATCCCTTAGATGCATCCTGTATTACTACTGGAAGACTTTTAAATTTAACCCTGATTTTTTTCTTACATTACTTTTTTCTAACTATAACGCTGCATATAACTAAACTGATGAAAGTACCAAATAAGTGTGTATAAATGCAGAATACAAAAACTATTTCCACTATCTGTAGTGATTTTAAGACTAACAATTTTAAAATACAACTATGAGAAAAATGTATATTTCAGAATTAACAATCTTATCCTATTTTAATTGTCTTTCCTTCTCCTCTCTTCATCTCTACTCTTTTTTTGTTTTATTTATATATTTATTTATTTTTTATTTCTTACATACATGACAATAGTGGAATGCATTACAACCATAATTATCCATTCACAACAGTTTTTCGTAACTCTGTATATAAAGTATATTCATTCCAAATTATGCCATTATACATGAGCTCTTATTATTATTTTTTGCATTATGATTCTTAATATACCTTTATACCACAATTTATCATATCTCTGATTGTGTATAAGGTATGTTGATACCAAATTCACATCTTCATGCATGTACTTTGTATAATGATGAGGGACTCCTTCTGTCAACCATGCTATTCCCCTTGTCCCTTCGTTTCCCTCCCACCCCTTCCATCTCTATTCTTACCTTCCAAATTTTTTTTTACCACTTGTTTAGTAATAATCTAATTGCCAAGTTCTCTCACTCTGAAAGAAACACTTTTTTATTAGTGTTAAGCAACATGGTACCTTTTAGAATTAGGTTAAAATTCCTTCCAGGACTTACTATGTGCCAGAATTTGAAGTAAATAATAAAATTAAAAATACTGAGAATAATATATCTATATCAGAGACACTCAAAATATATAGCAGCAACAACCAGTATTAATTGCAGGGTTCTTTTTATTTACCTTTGTTAAAACTTATAAGAGATCTAAAACTGCTTCTTGGGAAGGTTCATATTAATTGACATTTTTTTTCCATACTAAGAGCTCACTTTTCTTTTCCTGATGAGGAGACAGAAGGTTCTATTTGGGTTTAAAGGATGGCTATGAAATGAGGGTTAAGGCTACAGAGTAGATGTGGAGCCAGAATTAAAGACAGGCAGTTAGTATAGGTAGGTGATCTGGGTTAGATCTGGAACAGGAAGGCCAACTTAGAAGTGAGAGACAGCCCACTTCTAAGACTGAAATATAAACGACTTCAAAGCCCTTCCTCCACCCCTTCCAAGATAACCTTCCCCTGCTTCAACCTATTGCTAAGGTAACCAGCCCCAGGAACTGTCCTTCCCTTTCAGGGAGTAGTAAAAGTTGTTAATTAATGCACCCTAGGTTCCCTGACTGCCAGGGTCACTCCACCTTAGTTCCTCAGGCCCCTCCAGCCCATGTGCTTCACACCTTTTGGCCATCCCACCAAAGCAACTACTGGGCCTAGGCTAGTAGGCAGGAAGGAGCGAGGTAAGGGGGAAAAGAGCAGAACAAAGAAAATCTGGAATGCATAAACAAACGAGGCAGAACACCCTCCCTTCTTGGGATACCAGGATACTACCAATGGGCCCCTTCTCCCTCCTGGGAGAAGTCTGTATTATCCCTTTTTGAATAAGCTGTGCTTTACATGCTTGCTTCAGCATACTTCTCCAATATTATACTTCAACATACCGGAGGTATCAGATGGGCCATTGAGAGTACGAGTTCATGTATTTCCACATATCATGGCTATTAATACAAAAACTTTTCTCCCCAATAAAATGTACACAGAAATCTAAAAAGAGGTATGTGTAGACCTCCCATGATCTTCTTACATCCCAACAAAGTTGTTTTTTTATCAGGATTAGATTTTCTTCAGTAAAACTTAACTCACCAAATATTTCCCCCATTTCTTATCCAAGAATACAGCTAATAATAACAGCTACTACTTTAATGGACTAGGCCCTTGCCATTTAACCTTTATAACCTTGGAAGATTATTTCCTTTTTGTAGATAGACTCAGAGATACTAGGACATGTCTAAATCTATTCAAATATCAAATGACAAAGCCATGATTATAACTTGAGTTTGTCATTCTGAATTCACACAATTCATTTTTATCGTTCACAGCCTAATTAAAGAAAATTAACATGTTCATAATACTCTTGTATATCTAAGTGAATCAAGAATATGAATGGCCATCTTACTACCTGTCCTGAAGCCACTGTGTTTCTTCTGGATTATAGTAAAAGTCTCCGTAACTGATCTCCTTTCTTTCACTCCATCTTTCTCAGTCTATTGTGACAGAAAGCTCAGTCCCTATCGCTAATGCCAATTTAATAATGAGGACACAGTTTTGAGAAAAAGGAAAGAGAAGGTTTATTGCTTTGCTAGACTCCATCTCAAAGTCTGTGACTTCCCCTGATCAGGAGGGACAGACAGGGTAGTTTTAAAGGAACTTCAAGGGTTACATTCCAGGTGTGCTCTGGTAAGGGGCCCCAAGGTGCCCAGATGCAGGGTTAGGACTCACTTGTTAATTTGGGAGGCATTCACTTCCCAGATTCTCAGCAGGCTTCTCCTTCCTGTAGTGGGTGTGTTCAGGGAGTGGTAAAAGTTGTTAATTAATGCACCCTAGGAGGAAAATAAGACTGTCTTCCCAATCTTGTTAGGGAGGGGGAGAGGTGAGAAGAAAGAAAAAAACATTAAAAAAAAATAAATAAGCCTGAGAGCAATGAGGGCTACATTCAGGAGGTGAAGGTACTACTCTTACACTACAACTGGCTCTCTTAGCACTCAATGGCTCAAAACTCTCCAATGGCCTCYTGTTTCATTCAGAATAAAAGTTAGATGCCTTCAAGATCCTTCATGACCCATTTCTGCCTTCCTTAATTCTATCTACAGCTTTAAGCCCTTAACTCAACTTTGACACACAGGCTTGTGTGCTGTTCTGGTATCTTTTTCATGGCTTCTGCAATGGCTGGTCCTTTTGCCTGACTGCACTTCCCAGCGATATATCCATGGTTAAATCTCTCATTTCTGTCACCTCCTAACTAAAAAAAAAAAAAAAAGTCATCTTTTCCGTGAGCTTTCTCATTAAAATTTTAGACTATGTCCCCTTTCCTTGCTGGGTAATTTTTTTTCTTCAGCAGAATTCATGACCTGAAATGTTATGCTCTTATTCACTTTTATATCTTCCTCAATGAAATGTAGGCTGGAGGCACACATTTACTCACTGCTCTTTACCTAAAACCTAAATATAGTGGGCTTTAATAACTATTTGCCAAATCAACGAATTACTGGCTTCACCCACAAAAATCAAAGTCCTTTTACACACACACACACACAAAAGTAAACATGCTCAAGAATCTATTTTTCTCCAATAACGTCCTTTCCCTTGGCATTACATCCATTTCTCAAAGTTAGTTCCTTCAAGATTCCAAGCTCTTTCCTATTTTCTTACGTCAGTGTGGATTTTGGTGGGAATCAGACTTCCCATTAATACCCGCAGGTCAGGTCCTCTCTCGTGGGGGAAAGTAAGAGAAGAGAAACCCCTAAAATGGCAATCTGCGTACCCCAGACCCTCCGCGACCTTACTCAAGTGAAGCGGCGGCAACAGCTCCAAAGCAGCCTCAGCCTCGAGCCGACAGAGACAGCCYGCAGCACACGGTGGCAGGGAGAAAGGACCCAATAAGGTGCCCCAACTAAACGCCTGAGCGCCCCACTGAATCAACCCCACGCTCTGTCGTTCTCTTCCTGTGATCAGTCCTACTTATTCACTCACACCACACTCTCAGTTTTCCAGTCCCTCACCCAACATCACCAACTCCCCCGGCACCTCTTCCCTCTCGTTATATTTTATCGCCAGTTTGGGCAAGCGGCATGAGACCGGAAGTTGAAGGTCTTTCTTCAGGACTGCGTCGCGAAGCTGTAAGATCAAAAGGAAGCGCCAACTTGTTCCGTGGAGGGTAGATGGGATAGCTTGGAGCTGTCAGTGGAGCGTGCCGGTCTTCGGTTCCCGGCCAGGTTCTCGGAAGGGAACTTCGGCTGTCTTGGCTCGCAGGCAAATGCCAATCTCTGAGCCCCCGGCGTTCCAGGAACGGCCTCTTTTGTCGAAGTACCTAAAACGCAGGACTTGGAGCTTTTAAGCAGTAACGGCAACACCAGCCCCAGTCGCAGCGCTGGGGCCCAGTGTAGAAGCTCCATCCCCCTGTCTTTTGTCCGCTTGCGTCCCCAGACTCAGAGGCAGGTATTCGGGTATCCCCGTTTTCTGTGTCGTAGTTGATGGGACTTGTGGGAGGTAGAGGAAAATCATTTGYAGCGAGTGGCTCGCATGTCTGCAGCGAGAGATGGAGCAGGGCTTCTTGCTGATGGGGGTTGTCTCCATCCCTAGCTACAGCCCCCTTTTCCCCTAAACCACACGTTCACCGGAGTCTTGGAAATCTAAGGCAACTTTCGAACGCAACCACAGCATCAAATGAATGCTTAAAGAGAAGGTTAGAGAATCTGAAGTCTTTTCTGTTTCTTAAACCAAAATACGCACTTAATGATTTGGTATGTATCTGGCTTTCAAGGTGTAGTCACTTGTTGAAGTATAATACTCTCTTAAACAATAGGAGAAATTGACGCAGTGGAAGAGAGTGATTTCACAATTTTCAGTGGCTGTTTTACAAGGCCTTCTGTTCCTGTTTGTATTTGGGACAGAGACAACTTTTGGGAAAATGTATATAAAATTAGTGAATTAATATTATTTGTTGAAGAAATGTAAATGCTATTTTGTTCATGATAAAATTAGCATCTTTCTCCCTGCTTTTGACACCCCGGCCCCCATTCAAGTCATTCAGCTCCCAGTCCTTTGAGGACAAAGATTCTTGTTCATCCTTGGCACAGTACCAGGAGAAACATTTGACTTAAAATAGGGATTTCAAAATGTGGAAAGAATTTTCAAGTCCAACTTCTTTGTTTGCTGTTTTCCTCTTGTAATCCTTTTTTACTCACGTAGTGTAAGCAACATGCATGTGTCTGTTTTTTTATGAGCCTTTTTAGGTACATCTTGAGAGGTAAAATTGATGTAGAACAATAATTAATTATTTTATGCTAATTATTTTATGCTAATTAATGTTTTATCTTTTAAAATCATTTGCATTTTACTTATTTGGTTATTTGATTTTTCAGTTGTCTAAGTGATAAAGGCATCTAATTGAAAACCCAATAGTAGTTTGTAGTAGGATTGAATAATAAATTCAACAGTTCTCTATCATTTTCTACACTGAGGGCTGTTCAGATGTAAACATTTTAACATTTTCCAATTTAGACCTAATTGTTGAATGATAAGTTAAAATTCTGATTTTTTCCTATTGACTTAAAGTAGTCCATAGCATCCACAGATTTTAGAATAGTTTTCACAGTTTTTAGTTTTTGTGTTGGTTACTTTATAATCCTAAATAATATATGTAAACTCTACTTTTTCACATCAACTTTTGAAAATATTTTTGACCCCTTATTTGTTAAAATGAGAAAAGTAGTGACTCTTTCTTCATAAGAGCAGAAACTGCATGCAGCTGTTACCAAACTTGTAAGTTATTTTCCTGGTCAATACTATTTTCAAATGATCAGTTCTGAGAGCAGGCAGGAAATTTTATACAGGGGGTAATGGAGAAGGGGTGCTTATACTCTAAAAGTATCTAAGTCTGCATTATGAGAGGGAATGGTTTGCATACTGTCTTCAGAGCTTTTCACTGAGAAGGGATGAGATTTCCATAAATCAGGGTGTCATCTTCTTTCTTTCCTCATTTGGATAATTGTATTTGACAAAGTGCCCATCTTTTAAAGAAGTCATTATAATGAGTTCAAGGTCATCTGGACTGTCTCTGTGATGCCTGAACTAGATTGAGCCTGTCTGGGGTTCCACWATGCTGTTAGTGTTCTCTAACTCCCTTTAACTATTGTAAGCCAGGGGCATCTGTAAACAGCCTGTAGGTCAACAGACTTTTGGTTATTACAGGGTTAGTTGGTGAAACCTGCACTTTCCCTTAGCTGTAACTTTACTTATAAATCATCAAGGTTAATAATATTTGTTTCTTTTTTTTTTTTTTAGAGAGAGAGAGAGAGAGAGAGAGAGAGAAAACTTTCTAATATTTTCAGTGGACACAACATCTTTATTTTATTATTTTTTAAAATGTGGTGCTGAGGAACAAACCCAGCACCCCGCGCATGCCAGGCGAGCGTGTTACTGCTTGAGCCACATCCCCAGCCCAATAAAATTTATGTTTCTTAATGATATAATCTTTTGCTTTTTATACTAAAAGACAAGTACATTTTATTGTAAACCAATAAAACTTTTACAACATTATGGCTTTATAATTATTATTCACGCAAATCCAGGCAGTATGCTAGAGTACATTTTCTTCCCAATGTTTTAGTTTTGTAATCCCTGTACTAACCTAAAACACATTTTTTGTAATATTAAGGTCAAATTGATTCTTCTTTCTTCTCCAATGGCAAAAATTCATGCCACAGATAAATTGTGCTTTATTTCGTAGACTATTGATATTCTCCCTACTTTATTTTTTTCTTTCCACATTTTTTTATTGGTGCATTATAGTTGTACATAATGATGAGATTTGTTGCTCCATATTCATACATGCAAACAGTATAACAATATAATTTGGCCAATATCTCTCCCCAGGATTTGTCCCTTCCTCCTTTCCTCCTATCCCATGGGTACTTTGCTCTGCTGATCTCCCTTTGATTTTCATGAGATCCCTGTTGTCCTCCGACTGCCCTCGTCCCTCCCCCCCACCTTTCTTTTCCTTTTACCTCTTTAATTTTCACATAGGAGAGAAAACATGTGACCCTTGACCTTCTGAGTTTGACTTATTAGCTAAATAGAATGGTCTCAAGTTCCATTCATTTTCCTGCAAATGACACAATTTCATTTTTCTTTATGGCTGAATATATATCACATTTTCTTTATTCATCTGTTTATGGTTTACTGGTTCCATAGTCTCTGACAGTTGCATATTATGCTGCTATAAACATGGGTATGTTTGTATCACTATAGTATGAAGACTAATTCTTCAGGATAAATACCCTTGCTTACCTTTTAACGCCCCATTTGATTGCTTTTCTGTTTTCATTTGCGGAAAAGGTATATGTGCTTTCTTCAGCAGTCCTCTAATTTTTTGTATTTTATACATAGAATCTTCTATTCCTCTGTTTAAGACATCCATGGAGACCAATGGCTATTGCTTAATTTGGACAAATGACATTCTAGTTCTTTTGGGTAACCTCTAAATAGGTTTATACTTATTGAACATTTGGATAAATCACATTGTTGTTAAGCCACATTTTCTATTATTTGTTTTTCTCCTGTTTTGCTGAAATACCTTCTAAAGAACTTAAACAGAATGTATAGATGAAAAGTTTGTTTTTTAATGTTTACATAATTATAAATTACAATTAGCTATTATAATTGATAATTTGGCTGCATATAGAATAAAGATTATGTTCCTTTAGATCATTCAAAGCTTTACTGGCTAGTCTGCTCTTAATTTGTTGATAGATGAACGATTTTTTTCCTCTAAGAATTGATTAACTATTTCAGTTTATGCTGGATATTTTGAAAATTTATAATGGCATATCTAGGTGTGAGTTTATTCTCCTTGCAATGATTTCATTAAAGGGGGTAAGATAAATATCCCAGTGTGGGTGTTTTTCATTTATGCCTTATAAAATTATAAGTCTTTTTCATTTAAATGTACATATTTCCCTTTAAGTATGGGAAATTTTCTTTATTTTTATCTTTCATTACTTTGTCTCATTTTACTTTTTCCCTGTTTAGAAATTCCTCTAAAGTGTTTGTTGTGTTGATC